AACAAGGAGGGACGTGGGAAAGGAAACAAGGAAGTAGGGAAGAAGAGAGGAGGGAAGGAAGGAAACAAGGAGGACGTAGCAAAGGAAACAAGGAGGGACGTGGGAAAGGAAACAAGGAAGTAGGGAAGAAGAGAGGAGGGAAGGAAGGAAACAAGGAGGACGTAGCAAAGGAAACAAGCAGGGACGTGGGAAAGGAAACAAGGAAGTAGGGAAGAAGAGAGGAGGGAAGGAAGGAAACAAGGAGGACGTAGCAAAGGAAACAAGGAGGGACGTGGGAAAGGAAACAAGGAAGTAGGGCAAAGAGAGGAAGGAAGGAAGGAAACAAGGAAGTAGGGAAGAAGAGAGGAGGGAAGGAAGGAAACAAGGAGGACGTAGAAAAGGAAACAAGGAGGGACGTGGGAAAGGAAACAAGGAAGTAGGGAAGAAGAGAGGAGGGAAGGAAGGAAACAAGGAGGACGTAGCAAAGGAAACAAGGAGGGACGTGGGAAAGGAAACAAGGAAGTAGGGAAGAAGAGAGGAGGGAAGGAAGGAAACAAGGAGGACGTAGCAAAGGAAACAAGGAGGGACGTGGGAAAGGAAACAAGGAAGTAGGGAAAAGAGAGGAAGGAAGGAAGGAAACAAGGAGGACGTAGAAAAGGAAACAAGGAGGGACGTGGGAAAGGAAACAAGGAAGTAGGGAAGAAGAGAGGAGGGAAGGAAGGAAACAAGGAGGACGTAGCAAAGGAAACAAGGAGGGACGTGGAAAAGGAAACAAGGAAGTAGGGAAGAACAGAGGAGGGAAGGAAGGAAACAAGGAGGACGTAGAAAAGGAAACAAGGAGGGACGTGGGAAAGGAAACAAGGAAGTAGGGAAGAAGAGAGGAGGGAAGGAAGGAAACAAGGAGGACGTAGCAAAGGAAACAAGGAGGGACGTGGGAAAGGAAACAAGGAAGTAGGGCAAAGAGAGGAAGGAAGGAAGGAAACAAGGAGGACGTAGAAAAGGAAACAAGGAGGGACGTGGGAAAGGAAACAAGGAAGTAGGGAAGAAGAGAGGAGGGAAGGAAGGAAACAAGGAGGACGTAGCAAAGGAAACAAGGAGGGACGGGGGAAAGGAAACAAGGAAGTAGGGAAGAAGAGAGGAGGGAAGGAAGGAAACAAGGAGGACGTAGCAAAGGAAACAAGGAGGGACGTGGGAAAGGAAACAAGGAAGTAGGGCAAAGAGAGGAAGGAAGGAAGGAAACAAGGAGGACGTAGAAAAGGAAACAAGGAGGGACGTGGGAAAGGAAACAAGGAAGTAGGGAAGAAGAGAGGAGGGAAGGAAGGAAACAAGGAGGACGTAGAAAAGGAAACAAGGAGGGACGTGGGAAAGGAAACAAGGAAGTAGGGAGAAGAGAGGAGGGAAGGAAGGAAACAAGGAGGACGTAGCAAAGGAAACAAGGAGGGACGGGGAAAGGAAACAAGGAAGTAGGGAAGAAGAGAGGAGGGAAGGAAGGAAACAAGGAGGACGCAGAAAAGGAAACAAGGAGGGACGTGGGAAAGGAAACAAGGAAGTAGGGAAGAAGAGAGGAGGGAAGGAAGGAAACAAGGAGGACGTAGAAAAGGAAACAAGGAGGGACGT